TTTTTTAATGTATCTCAGGAATAAGGTGAGAAAGCAGAGCATAGTGATCTGCTTTGCTTTCTCACTATATTTGTAGTAAAAATAAAATGAAATAAAATTGAACTCATTTTATTGACTACTATATTAAATTGCATTCACTTTTGGCCCACCCTGTAGTTCCACAGATAAGAGCTTTTCTGTTAAGCAAAACACAGTGAAAATTTAGGGACCAATAAGATGTTTTCATTCATTACATTCACATATGTGCATATTGAAGTGGTCATCGGTGTTTATAGTTGTAACATATTCTGTCCTATGTAGTTATGCTTGAATGATTCAAATGGAAGTAAAACTATATTGAGTTTATAATATGCTAGATATTTAGCATACCAATGGAAAACATACGAAGTAGATATCATTGTTAAATGCTGAAAAATGTTAAGTCCATTGCCTAAAATCACAGTTAGTGAAAAACAGCACCAGAATTGGAAATCACATCTGTCTCATTAAAAAATATATGCTTATTTTAACTATAGCTTCAAAGTTACTGATGGTACCTATATACTTCTCTTCAGAACAAAGAAGTCTCTTCGTTCACTTGTTTGCTGTTTTCAATATTAGATATTGTTAGACCATTCAAATGATTATCCTCATTCTTTTGATTTGTTAAGAACATTAGATGGAGATGGGGAAACCTTGTTCACAGAGGCATAATACAGTAATACAATTTGTTCGTCCTTATTCGATGTTTACTATTTGAACATTAACCGCATAACACATGCATATTTTACTGATTAGTCTATTGTGGATAACTATTACCTCCTTATTAGAAAGGAAAATATTGTTACATACTAGCCAAAGAGATTGTTTTGAATTAGAGATGTTTCTTTGAATGATACTTCAATTCTTGATGTTATTAACATGAGTATCAGCATTATTGGAGTCTAACTGAACTGTCATATGATCCCTGAAGATTTCCTTTCAAAGCTGTCAAAAGAAAATTCTTTTAATTAAATATTTCAGAGAGCTTTCTTTATTTTTCATCTACATTTAACTTACAGTCTAGAAAGCAAATTATTTACAGGTTTGGAAAATACTCTATTCCCAAGGAAAAATATATTTAGGTATTGTTAAGGAGGGTGATTGAATTATTTCTTTTTATAAACTGTACAAGTATACTGCTTTTATTAAACTTTCATATCACTTCACAGAATGCAATGCTAGTGGAAGAGAAAGATATGAGGAAAAGGTGAAGGTTGAGAATGAATAGGGCTTCAAGGGAGCTGATCTTTCTGTGATCTGATAAAACCTCTTCCATTCTCTCTCTCTTTTTTTTTGTCTTGCATATCAAAAGCTTTTTCTCTGATTAGCAACATTCTCTCAGGAGTTGAGGGCAAGACTTCTGTGAAGATAGTTTCCAAAATGACATGGGTTTTTTAGTGCTGTTTTTGTTTTTAGTCTTTAGCAAATTCTAAAAATTTGCTGGGAAATTTTCCACTAACCTGAAATAGTTTTCTACCAGGATTTTAGATTTTGATACAACTATGTCTTCATATATTTTTATGTGATGTTAACACTTTTGTTGGGTTTAATGGGGACTAAAGATTGCTCTTGTAGAATGAGAATAAGCTTTGGAGTCAGAAGGCTTAGATTCAAGTCTTTTGTTAAACTTGTGAGTCCTTAAAAAGGTTTTTAAAATAATTTTTTATTTTAAATGTTCAAAAATAAGTAGGTAGGGATATATATACTATTAATACTTCTGTGACATTGTATACGTACTTATCATTCCATACCCAAAGGACTTTCATATATGCATGTGCTGTTTCATTTATAATAAAGCCATTTAATGACCCTTTCTGGCTTATTTTACTGTGAGCAGAATTAAGTTTCAGTTGTCTCTAATACGTATTTATGGTAAGCTAGGTTTTCTGTTTCTGTCTGGTGCTTGGTCTGGTTTTAATGTTTGATACTATATTAAACTGTACTATAAATTAAATGAGAAGAGGTACATTTTCTTTTTTGAAATAACTCATTGTTACAGAGTAGACTTACATAGCCAACTATCAAACAGGAATGCTCTACTGAGCAAATATTCACATTTTACTAGATAGGAAGTTTATCCATCTTAACACAGTTTGTCCGTGGCATTTAATGGTAGATCATTGGCTTTGAAAATAAAATGTCACTTGATTACAAAAGAAGTTAATGAGGGGCTTGAAGTGTCCAGAAAACATGTCAGTTTTCTACAAGTCAAGGCTAGCTGATCTTCTGCTGCAAGAAAGAACACCATCAGCGGCTCTTCCTGTCTGTCCTTCAGATAGGCCAAGTATCTAAAGGTCTGTGTTTTGCTTGATCATGAAATTTGCTAGATTAAAAAATATTTTATTAGTTTCTTCATGAAAAACGAATATAATAGTAGTGTATTTTCATCTTTATGTAAGCTAGGGATATAAAATTTAGCAACAGTCCAGCTCGAAACCAACCTTTTAAAATATACTTTTTTAAGATACGTAACTAGAGATCTTTTAAGTTTCTAAAACTATTTCAGATTCTTGCAATAAATGGCATTTACTTCATGAAATTAGTGGCTTCTTCAAACATATGTATACTAGAAATAAAACTGATTTGGACTCTACTGCTAAGAGAATTGTCTTACAGTTTGTGGCTATTGTTTATCCTTCTTTAGTTTTTGTTTTCTTAGAAATAATTAATTGGAATGATTACTATCACTATGGCTAATTAAACATGGATTATGTTCACATTATAAGGCATGTGATTCTGAGTCAGATCTTTTAAGTTGTACATTCCCCTGCTTTCCAGAGTAGAAAAGAGCATGGTAGACAGAGCTGTTGCCTTGAAAACCATGCATGGCCCTGTGGGTGACTGTCTCCCAGTGTTTTCTGCATTGGAGGATGGGCAGCCTCCTTCTGTGTGTCATGCAAGGAAAGATCCTAATATCCCTCTTTAAGGCATTTTCGAGTTCTAGTATTTCTTCATTTAAAAACTCATTTAATGTATTTATATTTTATCCAATGTTTTGTTTAAAGTCACAAAATGCTTACATATGAACATTTAACTGTTCTTCTGTGACCTATTAAAAATGAAGGGGGACATTCTGAATTTTGTCAAGAATATGCCTTTGTGTTTATTTTCTCATTCTTTTCTTTTTTTGTTTTCCTACAAAGAAATTGTTTTTGTTTCCATTTTGTTTGCCATTTTTTCACTTGTTTGTAACATTTTCACACAGAATTCGAGTTTCCAAAAGTACTGTGATGGAATATTACTAAAATGTATACACTTTCCCCTTGGGTTTTTTTTTTTTTTTCCCTGTTTAGGTTTTAGCTTTGTAGGGATAGAGAACCATCTTTTGGTAACTCTCTCTGGGACAATTTCTAACATTTACTAGCTTCTCTTGTATTATATTTGTGTCTAGTAGCTGACAAACCACAAACATAACCATTGTCATTCAAGCACACTGGAGAATTTTTCTTTTAAATTACTTCAGCTTAGAGATTCTTAACTTGAGATTTCCATTGGGCAGTGTTTTGTAGCCGTTGGTAATACCTATGTCAGAGTTTAGAAAAATGAGTGGATTATAATGTTAAATAAGAGGGAGTAGAAGCCAATACACTAATGTAAATAAAAACTACTCTCAGTGGACATTTCCATTACCCAGTGCGGTCTAGATGTCCACAGTGAGGGCTCACACTGTAGTTCATCGTGAAAGGTCAAAAAGATGAACCAACAAACCACTATGAGATTTATACTTTCCTAAAACCTAACCTGATCATTTCTTTCTCTTAATAAATGAGTTTAATATATTTATTCCATTTTATTATATTTACTGTTATACTTGGCCTATTTTGCCCGTCTTCCAGCAGTGTAGGGGGCCGAGGGCAGATGAACTTCACAATCAAAGGGACACAGAGTAGAAATGGAATCGTAACTGTCCTTCAGAGTGACGTAGTGGCATATTTGCTTACTGTCTGCCAGGTAGTGTACTAAGCGCTTTATATATAGTAACTAATTTAATCCTTTCATCAGTCCATGAGGCAGATTTTGACATTATTCCCATGAGCAATCTAATCAGGGGAAGAGATTTAACTCTTCCCAAGTTTGCATAGGTAGTATACAGCAGGGTTGGTATTTAAACCCAGGCAGTCTGGTTTTGGATCTGTGTTCTTAATTGCTAAATGTTAGCTGTTCCTTGTGAAAGCTTCGCACATGGAGAATAATGACAGTAACATTGGGAAATGCAAAGAAAAAAGAATCTAAAAGCTTACTAGAGAAAAAAAAATTATCTACCAAAAGGGATTGGCAGACTGACATAGACATTTTATTTCCAACTAAACCTAAACCTTTTCAGAGTGTAAAGGGAAATAAGGCTAGAATTCTCTAAGTACTTTAGCCCACAAGAGTACAGGGGAAATAAAGCCACTTTCAGATGTGTGGATTGTGACAGTTTGCTCCTCACAGGTATCTGAACAAACTGTTAAGGATGCACTTCAGCAAGGAGAATATTATTACTTTTTTGTGGCTTTTGGTAAGAAACCTAAAAATGCTATTAAGCAGGTGACTATATAGCATTTAGCACATATTTATTCATCTCTCAACGTCAGTTTCCTTTCCATTTACATAGAAATATACGGTATAAAGGTATTTATTAAAAGCAAGATTCTGCCAAGATTAATATACTGTTGTGATCAAACCTTGTTTTCTAAAAAATGAAATGTTTGTGACTGATATAAAGCACTCAGTGAACACTATTGCCAATGATGGCAGAGGCAGTAAACTTAATGGTATTCGAGAATTGTATGCTACTTATGTTACTGAAAAATAAGTACATAACATCAACTTTAGCAAATTATTATTACTAAATGATTTAGAACTTATGAATCACAAATAAGGAATCTCTTCTATTACTTTATGTCCTCATAATTGATTTGAAAACCCAAGCACTGTATAACAATTATATATTCATGTGGTCATTTGAATTCTGAGATTTCTTGTTTCCTTTCCAGCGCCTGGCTTTGGAAGCAGAGAAAGTTCAAGCAGCCCATCAGTGGAGGGAGGATTTTGCAGTAAGGACCCCTTTTAACTACTTGATTTAAGTATACTGATGTTTTGTGTTTGAGATATTATGATTGATTAAAATATTTTAAAAATTATGGACAGTTATGGAACAAAAAACAGCTAGGTATGCTTTTTTGCTTTAAAAAAAAGTTGCTTTTGGGTAATCAGGGATAATTAGTCAAAATGGTTCTTGCTTATGTTCCATCTTTTTTGAAATAAAAAAAAGTCCCTTGAAATATTCTCCCATACTCAAAGGGAGTTATAAAACTAATTACAGGGAAATAACATTAAATTCTAATATTTGAGTAATCTTTGTAGATGTGATGAATATACTAGGTGAAAAACAAGTGGCATTTTGTAAGAAGTGACATGTGTATTGTTACTGTCTTGATAGTGAGCAATGTGGTTAAAGTTAGATGTAATAAACCTTTTGAAATTTCACTTGCTCTATTTTAGCTAGAAGTAATATTTCATCTGCTCTGGCCTACTTTTAGAAATGTCAGCTGAGAGTAACTTTTGATAAACTTTGTGCTCCAAAAGTCATTGAGCTTAATTATACAAATTGCAGAAATTCTTTTTTGACTTCCGTCCTTCCTTCATCTATTTGTCTGTCTGTCTGTTGGTCTATCTGCTGTCTGTCTTCTTACAGCCAGGGTGTATAATGAAGTCTGACCCTAAAATCAGTTAAAATACTTCTATTACATATTTGAATTGTTTCATTTATAGTGAAAATCTCTTTAGTTACTGAACAAAGAAAAATTCCACACAACTCATTTGTGGGATTTTAAGCCCCCTCCCCCCATTTGAAATAGAATTAGAGTATGAGTGACAGTTTAATTATACTGTTCCATTGTCTTTGAATGTTTTGCAGAAAGAAATCTCAAATTTGAGGGTAAGAAAGTTGTGCTTCAAAAGAACACTAAACTAAGATTTAGGAGTTAGCACTTTCACTGTGTGTTTGTGTGATTATATGGTATATCAAAGGAAAATACAGTAAATGGTACTTCATCCACTTATAATATATGGTAACACTTAGTCTTTCATGCTTGATGATTCTGGTACTTTTTTTTTTCACTATTTTTGCCACAAATACGTATTTCTTAAACTCTTAGTTTACTAAGGTGAGACTCTATATGTTTACTGTGAGTTTTGAGTCTTTCATGGAATTGATCCTGTTGCTTGAGTTGTTGATATCATGTAGGTACTTGCTTCGTCCACAATTGATTGTTATAGATAAGTTAAGGAAGATCAATTTTTCATCCATAATGTATAAAGAAAAAGTCAGTGATTAAGTTAAAAACACGATCTTTTTGAGTATAGAGGACGAATTTTAAGCTCATCCAGTGAAGATTTTACAATGCAGTTCGTTGCTTAGAGATGAAAGAAAAGGTAACTTGCATTTTTTGGTCTTGAATAGACAAAACACAGCCAAAGTAATTTATCCAAATAAATATCCTTTTGATTAATTAATAATAGATGGAATTTACTATTCCTCCCCATCTTAGAGTTGACATAGTAAAAGCAGTGTAAAGGCATAACAGATGTGTAGCTAGACCTTGTATTCTGCCTGCTATTGGTACAGTAAATTGGTGCTGTTTTAGTTTAAATCATGAGTAATTCTGAGAATCCAAACATTATTAAGTTCATCCAAATCAGACTGTGTAATATGTAGATTCTATTGCTGTTTAAAACAGCTTTTCTTTGCATTAAAGGAATTTGGTAATATTTCTCATAGTCATTTGTTAGTTATTTGTCTCTTTCAGTTTTATAGGGAGAAATAGTGTTTTAAAAATAACTTTACAAGTAGGAATGTAGTATATAAAGTTTTCTTTCCCAGATATATTGACTGATTAACACTAACAACATTTTGGCAAGGATTTATTTTTCTGTATAGAAGAATTGGGTGACCACTGTAGATGACACACAAACTTTCAGTGCGTGATAGCCATTACTATATTTTATTGAATCCAGACCATCATCAGTTGTAAGGCACTTTATCATGTATGTGTTGCTGAGAAAGAAAAGCAATTAACTTATGATGCACCAACAATTTTAAGCTGTATTGATATTTGTCAGATGTCAATATCTATACAAATTTACCTTGAAATTTAGCTGCTTTTATCTGTCCTCTCTGTTCCTATATCCAAATAGAGGTACTGCTAGAAGTTATGCATGAGGACAAATCAGCTCCACAATGACACAAAAACCATTACTAAACCTTACGTGGTTAAATAGAAAATAAATGGTTTACCCAGTAAATGTTAGGAGTTCTTAGCAAATCGTTTTCGCCGTGTAGGAATATTTCTGACAAAATTCTGTTCTTAATTTCCCCCTAGATTACCTCACAATTTATTTAGTGCCTGTGAGCATATTGATTGACATTAAAAGAAACACTTAAAGGGAAAACAAATTACGGCACGGTAGAGGCCTGTCAATTTATTGCCTTAGTACCCTTCTTGAAGGACTATAATTGATGGTCACAGGACACTTATCTGTCACAGTCTACACCCTGAGAATTGATATTTTCCATATCTTACCATGTCAATCATACGTAAAGTCTTGACAGTGGCTCTTCCCTTTGAAATACCACAGGCGATAGACTGTTGAGATAGTGGTGAGTTTATACATTTGAAGAACAGAACCTGAATGAAGATTGCCTTCAGATGCAAATAAGTAAATAGTGCAAAAATAAAAGACCCTCTCTGCCATTTCCTTTCTTTTCCCTGATAACCTAGGTGATACTTCATTTATAGTTAGGAAGGTTAAATAAATTCTTCAAGACTGTAATACAAATCAAAATCAAAGTCATGCGTGATTGGCAATTAGAAATCATCAGCCTTAAATTTCCCTTTATTTTGTGAACACACACAAAACAATTGCAAATGTTACCAATATCTTAACCAAACATTTTAAAATGTGTAATTTAAAGTTAAATGCTACCATCTTCTAAAAGATCCTTCTGTTAAACTTTATAAGCCTTTCATCTTTTAAGGGATTTAACTGCATCAGTGCAATAGTTCTTTAATGCCATCCTTTAATAATTTAACACTAAGGTGATTTAGAAGGCAGAAGTAATTTCCTAAAAGGTACATTACCATTTCAAAAAGAAATACAATATTCTGATTCTTCCTTCAAGTATAAGTAGGGAAGTTTCACTAACATTACTTAGGCAAAATGTTGATTAACATTCTGTACTGTGTAATGTAGAGAAATTCAGGAACAACAAGAACAAAAGGCAAAGCAGTAAAATGTTGCCAACAAGAAAGGGCTGCTGTAATTCACTCTCTCCCTCAGCTCCGCTCAATTCCCAATTGAATGTACAATTGAGGGAACAAAGGGCATACACTCTAAATGGATTAAGATTTACTCCGTCACGCATTTACAAGTTCAAACCAATATTTGTAAATAAGCTCTGCCTACCAGCTGCCTTTCAGTTCTGCCTGCAATTTACCCTTACTGGCATGAAAGGGGACATTTCGTGTCACTTATGATGGACAAATTATTTTATTGGGGCAGGTGGGAGAAGGAAAAAGAAGCTTGGAAAACTAATTGTTCCGCATGAAATAATTGCTGTTATTTCTTCTGAACAGATCTTTTCCAATTGCTTTTGAAATCTCATTTGATTGCATTGCAATGGTTGGTTAACGAAAGCAATTTCATTTCCAACTAAGCCTGCAGTATTAATTGTACTTACACATGTATAAACATAAGGGGTGCCTAATTTGTATTTTAATAAGTGGGATCTTTATGTATGGCTTATTAGCATCAGCTTGTTACTGCGAAGGCTGAGTCCAGACATCTAGAAATTGGCCAGTAAATAAAACATTTGAGGAGCCTTTTTTAGCTTCAGCGTCACAGAGAAACTAAATTAGATGGTGTGAATTTTTCTGGTGAAGTTGAATGATATTGAATGTTAATCAGGCTAATTTCCTTCCCCTAATTTAGCTTTAATTATATATTTGCATTTTTAAAAATTACCTTACTGAAATCATATTTTGAAGTGTTGCTTTAAAAGTTGTGGTATTTAAAATTTTGTATTTATATGAGTTAAATTAATAGGCACTGGCATTGTGTATTTTAATTATTTCATTTATCTTATTCATTTCATGAAATAGCATCACCTCTGTTGATTTCAGAACAAATAATTGTGAATATGTTAACTGTGAAGTCATACTGTATTTATTTTGGTTACAGTATATAAAGAGAAACACTATTCTGAATTATAATTCTGCAAGTCCTGAATGCAAAAGGGCTGACTTTTTAGGAATAAAAGTAGGGGAGTAGCATTCTGTCTTATTGAATGAATGAATGAATTTAATAGATTACCAAAATGGTTTTCGTTTATTCTGGATTTAATTTTTCTTAGTTTCTACCTTTGGTTGAATTACCCTTTCGAAATCAAGAGCTTACATATTTCAGTGTATTTTTGGAACACTTCTATGTAGAGAAACAATCAGTTTTTTACTACTGCTTTTTTTTAAGGGTCTTGTCAGTCTCTCCTCACCATCAAGATGAATGGAAAGGAGCCACAATGCAAAATTGATTTACCCCCAAATTGTGGGAAAACAATTTACTAGAGTCAGGCAAATTTATGGTGCCTTACTCTCCTTGTTTATGCATACATATAAACGTCCATAGTAAGAGCATTATAAAACAGCAGAGTAGAACATAATAACCAAGGACTTTAAATTATTAGTTATCCTAGGCGATTACCCCTATCCTTTGTCTCTTAAATTGAAAAAAAGCAGATGCATAATGTTTATCCATTAATTACCTCACCAATAATCTTGGTTTCATTTTTAATAATGTTTAACATGTGATAATGTTCTTCCTAATCTCACTGTTACTTCATTGAATGCCAAGGTCCCATGAGAGTACATGATAATACAGTAGAACTCTCTCAAGTAAGACATCATGATAGTATATCCTGGGAGAATGCAAATTTAGGTCTAATTGGAGCTCAGTAAATTTCTTTCTTTTTGTCCCCATCTCGGGAAGGTAGGAGGAA